ACTCGCTTCAAATAGTAAAGAAAGCTAATTCCAACCAGGTACTATACCTTGACCAACTATGTCCCAGCTTACTTTGTTGCCATAGCTCTTAATCTAGAAATGAAATACAAATATTTTGAAAATAAGTGGGAAGAGCAACCAGACTGGATTGAGGGTGCAAAGAGTATGGTACAAAAGATTTGGAAGAAAGATTATCAATCAAAATCTACAAGCCAAAACGAAACACTGCTTCCAATTGCCACAACTATTATACCCCCATCAGCTGAACCGATCCTCTCTGATAGCTTATCTGACCTCGGAAATTTACCTGACTGGAAGCGGAAAAAAAGACAAAGACTTATAGGAGATTGCCGAGATGAACTTAACCAATACCTTGCCCGTGAAACCGAAGATGATCTGCATGTGGAGCCGTTGCAGTACTGGATCGATCATGTTGATGATTTATGTCAAAAGAATCTAGCTCAGATGGCTCTTGATACCTTTGCTATACTGGCAATATCAGCAGAGCCTGAAAGACTTTTTAGCAGGTGAGGATCTATCTCTCACTATCTTATTTCATTATCTTTAGTGGAACTATTAAACTAACTTACTTATTTCTACATAGTTCTAAGCTACTTCTTAAGAATTAGCAGAATTGATTAGGAGACAATATCATTGAGGCATCTGAATGCCTCAAATCCTGGGCAGCTTGTGGAATTGTTTACAGTGAGATAAACTTTGATGTGAATCAGATGGAGAGTACTCTGAAGGCATTGGAACTTTATTCACTTGGTCTTCGTTCCTCCTCTGTTGTCTAACATTATTTTTGACTTTCTTCTGAGTCTATATATTTCTATTTCTATTTTCCTTTGTTTTAGTGGTTAATGTTATAACAATATTTGTTTCATCTTTTTAAAATTCACCTGGGGCATATCAAGTAGTAGCAACTCCACTGGCAGCGGCAATGTACAGTACATTGATATCATAAAGTCTGGTAGCTCAGGGCTAAGTGAGTGTATTTGGCTGCAACCAGTAGTACCCAATCCAGGCGTGGGGTGACATTGCTTACTAGTTTGAGTAATGAAACATTTCAGATGAAACATTTTTCGCCGGGGACGGCGGGGCTATAGTCCTTTGCACCGGGTCGCGGGGCAAGTTTTGAAAAAGACCGGACGGGACCGCTCAACGCCGTCCACCGCGGTCCGCCTTCAGGACGGACGGACGGACTGCCCCGTTGGGAACACTGGGTTCGAAAGCCACTTATTCAACTATATGCTTATCTAAGACATGGTTCGCATGTGGGTTACCATATTTTCTGGCTAAAGCTGGATTGTGGTGGGTGAGGATTTTCTTAAACCTGCCCAATTGTGGCTCTCCCTACAGTGTCCGGTATTGGACTGGGAAGCAGGTCAGGATGGGAAGTGAATCACTTTATACATCAATTTTACTCAAATCCCCACTGCAGAATTTCGACGAAACTGAAGCTCTGAATTCAGCTCAAAAAAGGACAACACCTTTTCCAATTGTCTATGCCCCCCTGTCGAGATTCTGTGACTGGGTCCTCGAGTTTGGACCCCTGTCTTGGTGACTTGTTTTCCCTGCTGGCCTCTCCCATTCGTTCGTTGGGGAGTTTTGAGGGTTCCACTACAGTCATCTTGCGAGATGGGGATCTACCATATTGTAGCTTTGTCTACCATTTCTCGATTGAAAGTGTGGTACCACACGCGCATGCTACCAGTTGATGCAAAAAGTACTGAGTATGGTTCTATACTTTGGCATTTTTTTTTTACTGAAAAAACCTAAGCAATTGTGAAACCTACAATGCTACTTGCTTACGAGTGAGCACTGAGCTATAAGTCATTAGAGTTGCCCATTTTGGTTATATGATAAGTGCCTAACTACTTGGCCATTCCAAAAGTGTCCGGAAATCTTAGTGTTTCCTAGGCCGATGGCGTGCCAACATTTCCGGATACTTTTGGAACGGCCAAGTATGCTCCCAGTAGTCGTATACATAGGGTTCTCATATCATACCCTCCCGAGTACCCCCAGCCCTTAGAAATGCTTTGCTAACCCCCACTTCCGTATCATTCAGAAGAACGAATTGCGATAGAGTTGTACAATATATCTAGGAGAATATCTGAAAACCGTTAGTTACTTAAGTAAAAGGCTCTTCCTGTTCCCATGCTGTTAATAGGTATAGTTCTTGAGGTACGGGGAAGGGTATGATAGTAATTATTATGGGAACTTCACGGATGCTACTGTAGTCTACTGCCAACCCAGCTCTGCTCAGCACTGATCGACGGGCCCCCGTTTGCCGTTTGGTCACTTGCTGCCTTGTCCGTCTGCAAACCCTAGCTGTGCAGGAGAAGCCCGGGTAGGCGCAATTGTGGCGTTATACGAACCCTTGGTCTTATATCGATCATCCCTGAAGCAACAGCTGCGTGCATAATGCCTATAATGCTTCGTTCCCCGAGTATCCTTAAGACCCTTCCCACTTGGTCTTTTTTTTTAAAAACGTCTCCAAGGTGTGAAAATATTTTGCACCACATACTATACGTACTCCGGAACTTACTTGCCTACTCAATCTCCTCTTGTAATGTGATTAGGTCTTATTCTCCCACCATATCAGCTCATCGGATAGAGAGACTCGGAGCAGGTGCAATAGTTGTGCACTAGTAAGTTAACCGGCAGGCCCAGTCTGCGAAGCGTTCCCCAGATGTTTAGCGGAAATAGGACCTTTGGTCCGGCACCACGCCGCTGTCTCATGTTAAAATCAGCGCTCTTGACATCCGGAGCAGATGGAGCTAGAATGGCCACGATTGCTAATTTTGGCCCTTGTCACATTGATCCAGAAAGCCCGGTTTGGATGGCAGTCTTTTATCCTGAGGGATAGACGATGGAGCCTCCACGTGGAGGAAAGCTTGGAATGCACAGGCGAAGCTGGAGCTGTCACTCCCTGAGTGCCGATATTGGAAGATTTTCCTTTCGGAGGTCTATCGGAGGGAAGAAAAATTTTTCTATAGTCTTCACCAGTTGGGGGGCGCCCTCCAAAGGACACTAGAACAGAATTGCGCCTTAACCATCAGGTACGACACAGGTACTCGTACAGCACGGCTGTCGACTAATTAGCCGTAAATCAATGGTTGCAAAGGCTAGACGCCATCCGACCCTCTGCCCAGCCGTCGGAAATCCAGTCCAGTTGCACAGATACTCTACAAGTGTCTATTGGGAATTCAAACTTAGGGAAGACTATGTTGGAAGTGATGGGATTCATTATGTAGCATATGAGCCTAGGCAATCCCGGGAGCCAGATATCCAGAATATGAAATGAATTGACCCTGAGGGCACCTGTGCTTGGGTATGTTGAATGTCTTACGCTATAATATTCCCCCCCCCAGCTAGCAGTAGTTTACTGTGGTCAATATTTTTACTGCTCGTACCGTAAGTTACAGCACGACATGCATACACAAGGCCGCCAGATATGATAATTTTCGCCAAGACTGATGCGGCTCCTCGGTAAGGTGACGTTTCAAACCGTGTACCAGGTGTATTCGAAGGGTGTCAAGAAGCCAGGGCAGTCAGTGGTTTGTAGAGCGAAGCTGGGGGCATTACACGGTATCATTTTCGGGATAACTTAGTTGACCTACTGGCCTGGGTAGGTATAGTACTAGGGTAGATCATGAATTCATGGTGCGGAGCAGGGGTGGTGCCAGGTGGTACACTGCAACCGAAGAAACATTTCAACAGAAAAATATGTGTTATGGTGCAGAACCTCTTAAACTAAACCCTTTACCAAGATTTCCTCTCATGATGGTGTTTTTGGCTACAACATCCCTAGAAAAGAAATAAAATATTAGATAGTAGACCAATATATTCTCTAGATATGGGTAACAAATTTTCAATGGATTGTACAAACCCCTTAACAGAGTTTTGTATCAATCAATAGTTCCTAGAGTGTATAAAATGCAATCAGGATTTAAGGAGTTACTTACCACACTACAACCAGCCTTTAGGAGTGTTTAGTTTTATGAGCTTATGAATTTATCAATATTCATTATCATAGTTTTGCTTGATTGATCTTCCTGGTCCAAAGAGAAATCATTATTCTAATAATGTTTTATTTGAAGTGTACTACATCTACTGAGACATTACTAGTGCGGTGTACCATGAATTCATGATATACCCTAGTACACCATTCACAGTTCGTACTGTACAGTACGATACGTCAGTCCCGAGCCTTTGGTGTAGCGCTTACCTAATCCGGGCGCTAACCGATAGCGGATGAAGGACAGCTGGGTGAGTATACCCGTATACCCACTATTCTTAGCCAACAACCGCTCCTTAGTGCCAGGTGCTCTCACGGTCGGTTGTGACCCCGCAAAAATGGGGACAACGAAAAGCTCTTAGTTGCTTCGCTCCTTTTCCTGGCAGCGTTTGGAAATTTGGCGGTGATAGGACGTCCATAGGGCTGATATAGATAGTCTATAGGTTCATGACCTCTCACGGTCGGTGTGAGGATATATGTGTCACGTGATTACAAAAAATCTTGGCACAATAGTTGATTGAAGTGTTCACTTTGTTTGCTTCCTTGCCAACCTTCTTCCATCCTCTCGCGGCGTTGACACCGCCATCGGCCACCCTAGGAATGTGCATTCCCAATGTATATCTGCTCAACCTAGGCTCCCCACATATTGCTCTTCTCATCAAATACTCCGCCACCCCACAGAGCTGGTGACATGTTCACCACTGAATAATCCCCCCTTGGGTTGTGGAATGAGCCAAAAGTTGCCATTATTGTATTTGAGGTGGCAGATGGCAGGGGGGCCGCGTGGGCGACGCCCCGTGATTCATGATTTCATATCCGCCCTTATCCATTCCCGAGACCGGCTGCAAGAATAAACCGAGTAGGAATCTGGAAGTTCTGAGTTCTTGAATATGCTCCCTGCTCCGGAATAAGTTTTTCCCGTGCCACCTACCGAACACACGTGGGAGGCCACGCACTAAAAGCACGCTAGCGCTAAATGGTTTTCTTTACCTCTTGCTTTCTCCTCCTTCATTCGTTTGCTTGCTCCGCTCACCCACACTACTCAACATACACTCACCTACTTCCCCAACCGAACTCTCCACCTGCTTCACTCGTTGCTTCCTTTCATCTAGCTCTCATCTGGTTTGTCTGTACACTTTGTGTATCATACTTCGTATATTCAATTCATTTCTTCTTTCCGGTCTTCCTTGCCGGTAAAACTGCCGTTTCGATTATTACAATTTCACAGATCTTTCAACACTACCCCCCACCGTCCCCCGACACTCCCATCGCTCCCCACCATTTCCTATATCGTCTTACGCCTGCCCTTGCAAGCCACACCCCGCAAGGCTTGACATTTTGAGGTATCGCTGCCCTGGACGGAATGCTAGATGCACCCCGGGCCCGTCCGGGGCTCATGGCGGTCCCCCCACCGGGCAGACAGCAGAGAAGCGAAGCCTGTCGCAATGTGCGCCCCCTGCAGAGACCGACCAGCTCACAATCTCCCTTTTTTTTTTCAGCTCGATACAAAGTTACTGTACCGCGGACACCCCTCCTATGAGATTGCAACCACAACTCCCACCAATTTGCTCCGCCATTTGAGCTTGATATCCTCTCCATTGCGCTCGTGTCCATTGCTACATTTACAGTGAGCCACCTGCTCACTGTGAGTGCAAACTGATACAGCACCCTCAGACCCAACAGCATACTTACTGGGACGATGTCCCATGGTTCAGCTATGTTGGGGTATCAAAGTTTAGCTGCTCTGAATGCGATCTTTGGATACAGTTAGTCAACAAACTGGACCAGCGACAGTATTACACAAAAGGCTCCCACGGCAAGTGGTATTGGCCGTCGGGGATACCCGCCGTAACAGAGCAGAGGCTAGAGAATATTCTAGTAAAAGGACTTGTGCAGAACCACGCCACACACTTGTGGGCGAGGGGACTGCTGGGGCTAGACTCAGGCCCTAGTTAGTGATGGGGGCCACCATATCATTTTCGAGTTTTTCTCCAGCAGAGCGTGCTCGGTCATCTCGAGAATCCACTATACTCGATATTGTCGGACAGTGGCCACAATCAATAACTCGACCAGGACCCATCAATAATTCAACCATGGGGTCCTCTCGAGCAGATCGTGATTGAGCAGAACCCTCATAGTTTGCTCGAGTATGCTGTCCTTCACTAGGACCAGATTTCGATAGCAGCACCCCACCATCACGAACCGAGGGACCCGACGACTCGAGTATTTCGGAGGATGAGACTGCTAGTGCTGGAGGTGAGTTAGGTTATTCAAGGCTGGAGCCATTTTGGAACTGTAGGTCACGTTCTTGAGAGCATTTGTATCATATAGCCAGGATATGGGAAGGCAATGGTACGAGGAGGCAATCCCATGAAAATCACCCGTTTATCTTATTTTCACTAACTCACTTATGTGTTACCTCTTAGCCTGTGCCCGTGGAAACGTCTGCTTGTTGACGCTGTCCCATGGAGGACATATCAGGAAAGCCGGCGCTGAGCAGGCTGCGCATGCTCTTATCTCCCTCTATAGCAATACATTCCTGCTCCCAATACAGCTCATTTCCACCAGTCCCGACCGATCAACTGCTCCATCTTGTATGCTAGCTTATTTACCGCTACTCGTACCACCTCTAGTTTCTTTTCACTATCACTTTCTAGGTTTCTCTTGCTTGTTACCACCGCCTCCAAATATCACTGTTTTCGGTTCTTGTTAGAAGGGGATCTACCTTAGAACTTGCTAGTCTAAAAATGTACGCTCCAACCCCTTCACTCATTTTTTGATCCTACCCCCCTTATTTGCAACATTGCACATGAGCGTCCATGGTGGTATTTATAAACAAAAGCCCGAAACCAAAAGAGAGGTGGCAACTGTCTCATGTAGCAAGGAAAGCGAGAATAATATTCAACAATACATATTAAATTATGGCTTCCTACTATAGGAGTGATAATTCCATCCGCCGTGTGAGTGAAAATACCGCTATGACTCCAATCAGAGGGAGAAACATCTGCGTTCGCCAATTCAAAGAAAATATCGCTTCAGTACCCGGAAGCAATACCTGTACCTGTAACTAACTATCCCTGAGTCCCAGTGCTCCCAAGTGATCGGCAGAATGAGGTCCCAGTTTTATGCCCTAGTCCTTTTTTGAAGGCCTGAGACTTGGCCTTCGGTCTCCGAGATAAAGGACAGTCGCACCCCGTTGTCCCAGATGGTCCCGTCCAGAAGGGAGATTTGGAAGTTGGAAGTGGAAGCTCTTGGCGAATATTTGAAAGGAAGAAAATTACTTGAAGGCAAGAAGTTTGCGTCATTGCGTATTAATTTGCTTTTTCCCTAGAGCTGCCCTGAGCATGATTACCAAGGCTTCGGACTTCTGGCTTCTTTCCGACTTTTTTTTACGCTCAGGGGCGCCATCACTCTACTACCGTAGTACGGTATTGTGGTAAGAGCGGTTTTCATTTGTGAGGAATATTCGCACCACCACTGGCGCGAACATCGTCGCACACCATTTGATTACAACTTCGGAAACGGGGGACCGTCAAAACAAACCCAATATTAGTGAGTTGTATAGGTCTGCGGACGGAGAAATTACTCGTAAGGTTGCGACGTTTGTAAAACGGACCGTTATCACATACCCCCCACGGCCCTGAGACTCTGGGCAATTTCTGGCTGCATGCAATAGCAGTCAGCTCTGCAAACACCACGGTATTGCGTCTAAAAAAAGGTGATTCAAGTGACAGGGGGTATCTGATAGAAAGTACTAGTACTAGTACAGTACTCGAGTAGGCTCACACTTTCCTGGATACCGGTACAGAACGGTATCTGCTTGTCAGCCGTACAGCGCACGGAAGTGCAGTTAGAATAGAATCATACCTCCACGAAATCTCTCCACACACCGGTACTCTAAATATTATATGTTTCCTGCTCCGCCCGACTGTCATACTCGTACTCTGTATTTCCCCGGATTCCAAAAGTAGTTAATCGGGAGGCCTTGGGTAACAAAGGTGAGACAGGGTGGAATCTCTCATCCATGCTGCTACCTGGCTCATACTACCGGTACCGATACCGTAAAACATGAAAAATTGGACAGTGGGTGCTAGGTCGTTAGGCCTTCCTTTCTCGGTAAGTTCATGGAATCTTTGTTTCCTTTTTTCTTGTCATGGAAGGGGGAAAGGGGCAATGTTTTCACTGTGCTTTTTTCTCTCCCTACTTCCAGAGAAGGAAATTTTGGACTACACAGCACACCATCCAATCATTCAAATTTTTACGCCATTCGGCAATACCCCACTCCTGGACCCCTCGAACGGACTTTTAAATGTATCGTAGCACAATCTATGTGCCACCGGGTTTGCGTGACATTGCGTGCCGGGTGGTTGAAATGAACAATCACAATCTCACCCACCCGTTGTCATACAAATAATCCCGATGCCGGTATTCCAGCAACTTGTTCCACGGGACAGTTTTTTCTTCTTATTTTCTTCCAGGGCCTAGAGATTAGCTGGGTAGTGCACATCGTGTACTCTAGTACCAGCTTCGACAGGGGGTGAGAGATGAAATGACTGTACCCCCGCGGTTAGCATACCATGTACGAGTGGTACCGGTGCGGGTGCTTCCGTTCCAGAAGGTTCACTGCTCCCCTCCCCGTATTCCTCCCCAAAAAACACCCCCCCCCCGATGAAACATCTGCGCCTTCCATCTACGAGTACCAGAACTTCGGACCTTCCTACCGTACCGGTACTAGGTCGAACCGCCAATGGGTGTCGTCACATCATTTTCTTCCGCCACAACTGCACTTCTCCCACCCTCAACTGATTCATCCACGATCGTCCGATCTCAGGAATCGAGGCAATCAGCTCCGGGGCCCAAAAAGGCGTTTTCCGGGTGCCAAGTTTCGAGTGGGACGCCGGATTGGTTTATGTAGGATAAATTTATGATATTAAGAGTGGGTCTACCAGATTTGTATGCAAAAAAGGCGCTAAACAAACCAATGTCCTCCAGCTTGAATAGCTTGCATAAACGCTTTTTTCAACTCCGGCGGGGAAATGCCTCTAATGGACTACTCGAGTACTCTTTTCGGCTGTCCCGCGGTAAAAATATCCGCTTCGGTGAAAATAACTAGTTACCCCGCATTTAGAAGCTTCCAGGCCAGGGGGATTCCCCCCCACACTACTCAAGTACAACTTTTCCGCGTAGGATGTCCATCTGGAGGGTGCATAATTTCTTTTGGGGAAAAATCTATCATACTCGAGCACCGTGCCAGTACGAGTATATGATATCAGGTCCACCACGAATACTCGAGTATAATGTGCAGAGTGTGTATTCTCATCAGACTTTCACCGCACAGATGCTGCTCTGAGGTTAGCCAAAGCCCTACCCATGCATACTGGTAGGTTAGGAGTTATTACTCGTAATTTTCTGACGTTTTCAAACACGGCTACTATTGCATACCACCAAAGCATTGAGGCTCATGCAGATTTTTTTTGCGAGAACTCGAGAGTCCCTCGAGCACAGCACCGTCAATTCGGCCTCCGGATTTTGGTATTTTTCTGCGCCCCCGACAACTGATGGGGGAAATTTATGCAGGTTGAATAGGAATTGCTCGAGTACCGTATACGAGTAGAAGGACGAAGGGCAAGAAGTTATGGAACAGTTATTCGCGGTTAACCGGCCAAATACATCCCTGTCAGCCCATGGCTGCCTACCCTTGTACAGTCGTGTCCGGAAAGTTTTCGTACCCTCGCATGGCAACCGCACAACCACAACCCCCAACCATAAAAATTTCAAAAAAAATGTAAAGAATTCAATTAAAGAAAACATGATAGTATTGCTAGTAGACAATAAAAAAACATTATTACCATTTTGTATGGCCTCCATTTGCATCCAGTACAGCTTGCATTCTCTCAGGCATCTTATCTATCTATCCATCCAACTTCTCTTGGGGAATTAAATCCCACTCTTCCTTTGCTGCCTCAAACAATTCAGCTGCACTATGAGGCCTTCTTTCCAGTCTGGAGAATCGCTTGGTAAGGGCTCTTTTGAGTAGCGCCCATGTGTTCTCAATAGGATTGAGATCTGGTGAGTTGGGTGGCCAAGGGAGTTTTTTGTAACCACAGTCTGCTTCCAATTTTCGATTTTCCTTACTACCATGCCAGGAAGCATTGTCTGCAGTAAGGTAGATATTGTCAGAAGGTCTATCCAGACCCTCTATAAAAGGGATAAGGTAAGGCTGGTGGATCTCAGTTGCATATTGGTGAGAGTTTAGGCCAAGTCTGTCTCTTTTACTGGTCCTTTCCTCCTCCCTTCTCTTTCTCACAAGAATTAACTCAGTCTTTCCTCCCTTCATCATTGCAGCATATACTCTAATACTAGTCCTTCCAGACTTAAAGTTAGGCTTTAAGTTTTTTTCTTCCAGCTTTTCACCAGGTCTAACTCTGATATTTCTGCCTGTTGGATTTGGATCATAAACAATGGTAGCTTCATCCACAAAAACAACTCAATTCCATGCCCCTTTCCAGTTCCTCCTTCTCCTAGCAAACTCTCTTCTTTTCTCCTTTTATCCTTTTCTCCAAAAAGGCTTTTTCCTAAGTATCAGAAGCTTAAAACCAGCTTCTGATATGGTCTTATCAATAGTGGTTTTACCAAGACCAATATTGGCTGTTTTGGTAATGTTGCATAACACTAAATGAGGCTCAGCATCGATAACTGACTCCACTATCTTTCTTTTTATGTTAGTAATTTTGGTTGGTCTTCCACCTCTTTTTGCATGGTGAGTGTTTCCACTCCTAGATTTAGCTCTTTCGATCACAGACTGAACAGTGAACTTGGATACACCTAAAGACTTAGAAATTTTGTCATATCCCATATCTGTATGTTTATACAGAGTATAAATTTCCTTATTCAGGTCTTCTCTTGCTCTTAGATTATGTGGAGGGGACATGGTGAGGAGGGTTGTAGTAGTGATGAGGTGTTGCAGGGTTGCACCTCAGGGGTATGAAAACTTTCCGGACATGACTGTACAAGGGGGGGGAAAGAAGTAGTGTGACACAGTAGCAACCGCTTCCCACAAGATCACAACTCTACTCCCAACCCCCATCACTACAATACTCACTATATCCCCCACTACCTGTCAAACTATTTCAGAAAAGCACTATGAGGGTAAAGGGAACCCGCAGAAGTGAGCGTAAGTAGTTTAATTAAATGAATATGTACATAAAGTTGAAATAATAATAAAATCAAATGATTTAGCGATTAGTCCACAAAATCTTGAGTGGCAGTGATCATTAACGAAGAAGTGACAGTGCTTCAAGTGGAAAACTATGTGTGATGACCGGATCCGTATTATTGCTCTCCGAGAATTAGTGGAGTGGTATTTCAGAAAGATAACTGCCGAATTGGAGGAAAAAATAGGCCTTAAAGTTCACCATAGTACCTGTGCTCGCATCTATCAACAGTATTGGGAAACAGGTAGTCCTTCCAACTACCAGCAAATAGGAAGACCTCCAATCTTCCAGGAGTCTGATCTACTTGATCTAAAGTCTTTTATTAAAGAAAATAAAAGAAATAGAAGACTCTCTTGGGAGGATATTAAAGAAGAGAAGGGATTAAAGGCATCATCCAGGACAATTTGGAAGGCAGCTAAGAGTCTTAATTTAAATAAAAGAAAACCACCCAAGAAGTAAGTACTTTAATGAAGATTCAAGTGTTTACATAACTAAAAGATATTTTAGATGGAGATTGCGCCCTAAAAATATTCCAATTAGATTTGGTTAGTATATGAGAAAAAGAGCTTAGAAACTAAGAGACTGGTCCAGAATCATATAGACTGATGAAACCTCATTCTCTACAGCTGGATTTGGGCAGAGAGGATGGGTGATAAGAGAACCTTCTGAGGAATATGATCAGGATTGCATTGATGAGGTCTGGGAGTCAGGAAGGGAGACAGTTATGGTATGGGAAACTTTTTGTAGGGATTTGAGGTCAAAGCTAGTGGTAGTACCAGGAAAGGTTAAAGTGGATTCTTATGAGTATACTAAGTATATTCTGGATCCAGTTTTAATTCCTTTCTGGCATGAGTGTTATGAGAGATTTGGTTGGACTAGGGTTATTGAAAATGGTGCACCAGGGCATAAAGGGTAGATTCTACCTCCTTATAATTATTGTATTTTCTGTTTTTTGATATAGAAATACTTACTTAAGAATATAATCTAACTACTGGTTTAATCACAGATATTCTACAAAGTGTAGAAAAAGGAATGGGGTGGATATATTGCCCTGGCCACCACAGTCACCAGACCTGAACTTAATTGAAAATATTTGGGGAGATATGGAAACTTACTTGGGGAAAAGGTATGGAAGAGTTGCAAGCAAGGAAGAGCTAATCAGAGCTGTGGAGGAAGCATGGAAAGCTATTCCTGATGGAAGGTTTATGGATCTTTGCAGAAGTATGCCAAAGTGGGTCAGAGAGGTTATTAGAAGAAAAGGGCACCAAACTCATTATTGATTTATGATTTTCTTTTTATTTTACTTTAAGGAAATACTAAGCATTTTTTAATTTTATCTCCTTTACTTATTTTATTTATTGAATGTGGTTGTGGAAAATGGTAGTACTATATGTTGTTGATATTGTTTCTGTACGGGAATTTGTGTTGCACGGGTGTCGCATTACTTTCTTCCCCCCCCCTCGTACTTGTACCCCGTCTTCCCAGCCTGGAATTGCTTTCCCTAACAACGAGGCTGCAAGCGAGCTAATAACTCTTCATCATCAATCGTTTCCAGGGATTTGTCCCCACCAAGTGCGGCTTGGGTCCTAATTTCCTACTACTGTACAAGTACGAGTAATGCAATGTGTGTGGAATTCTGGCACAAATTCTCGAGTGACGATTCGTGCACACCTTGTGCGGGATATAAATTTCACCAATAAGGGTTAGACCGTCTCGGAAGGTGTCTTTCCCGGGCAGCATCGGGGCGTTCTCTCTGCGTCTAGGTTATGCTGATAGGGCGAGACAATACAAGTACACATGGAGAAGACTGGAGAGGCTCCACTCTGTACGGTGAGCGAACGAACCTGCATTTCGTCAGAGTAGCCAATACCGTCAGGGTTCTGCACCCGCTTTCCCACTTCTTGGATAGCTCATGCTAGCTCAGAGCGGGGATTCCAATCAGGTCCGACTGTACATTGGGTCGGTGGATGCCAGCGCAGCGGACAAGTTTGGTAGGCGACTATGGCCCCGAAGACGTATCTTGGCATTATGCTTCAAGCTTCAGGGATAGTTCTAAAGCTGGAAAACGGGGTGAGCATGCCATCCGCCGTAACTCGACACGGGACCGATGGGCATTCCTTCTCCTCGAGGGGGATTGAGGGTTCAGGATAACACGACCGTACCACGCGGCAGCGAGTCCCTCCCTCCCCCTAAGCGCTGGACAACCGCCCCAAACGCGATGCAACGCGGGACTAACAATGCCTCGGCGTCCAGAAGCAGCGAGTAGCAGATGACTCATTCACAGAACACGGCGTCCTGCACTCTTTTTTTTCCCCCTGTCGCATGCATGCACATTATCGGGGGGGTTTGTCTTTATTGTCGACACAGAGCCAGGGCATCCAATAGTCTGCCGCCGCTTACACGCAATCAATCCCCCGCTGTCTTGTCCGTCTCTCGGTCCTATGGAATGTCTTAGGGACTCCGTTACCAAATAGCTGCACACCATTCCCACGACTCCAAGGTGGAGCGGGATGGGATGGGTGATTGGCTTACACAAGATTACAAATTCCGTGAGCCAGGAAGGCGGCACGCACTCACCCATCCGCACCCCCGCGGGGTCCACCCCTAATTCCAGCAGGTAAGGACATGCGAGCCACCCCCAAGCGGCTACCAGTACGAGTAGCCAAGTGCACTTCTCGCAGCGACAACAAATCTGGTATCATAGGAAAAAAAAGCACTGTTGACAAGCGAAGGGTTGGGGGCCTGTCACATCCGATGTCCGATGTGCTGCCATTCTCGCTCCTCCCGAATGGAGCTTGTGCGATGGAGTGCTGTTCATGTAAAGTAACTTAGCATATGATAACGGTGGAAGGGAAAAGTGTATTGAGCAATAGATATAAGGCATGCGTTCGGTCCCGGTATAACAGATGATACATAGTCCTTCAGTCCTCCTGTCTTCCGTGAAGTCTGGCTAGCAAAGTAAGTCGGATCGCTAGTTAGCTTAGGTTATGGTACGAACGGGAGATGCGATAAGGTACACTATCATCAGCTTCCCCATCAGATCAACCGACGTCAACAATTATCAGTCAATCAATCAATAACCCGCCCAACACCTTGTTTGCCAGGCAATATATACAGCCCTGCGTCACCAGGTTAGGAGACCAATTATCTTATTCCCCATCTTCAGCTTCCTTCCCTCTTCCCCTTCTCCATTGCCACCATTACCACCTCCATCATCCCCATCCATCATTGTCCTCTTGTTCCCTCCCTCGCACCTTCGAATAGACGAGATGGCTCGACATCCCCACCCTGTTTCTGGCCAGCTAGAGCCCAATCGGGAACACGCGAAGCCGTCGGATCTGTCCCACCACTTTAACCGTGTTACCCGTGAGCGAACTGCAAGTGCAATCAAGAACTTGTACAAATATTTCCAGGCCCCAGGAATGATAAATTTGGCCGGTGGTATGTGCACCATCCATTGTCTGCGAGTAAAAATGCTTGTTATACCGGTTTGCTGACCGCGCCCTATAAAGCTCTACCGTTCCCCGGGTACTTTCCCTATGATACATTGGAATCCGCTGTCTCAACTTCAGGTCGCTTCCCCGCAAACCTTATCGAACAGCTTAACAAACCGATTCCCGTACTCTCCACCTCTCCGCCACCTCCTCCTAAAAGATCATCCCCCCTGTTTTCTTTCTTCAGGCCATCACCGTCTCCGTCACCGGCTGCCTCCCCCACACCAAGGAAGACCTCAGGGAGTCCCGGCACAAGTTCCTCACATCTGATTGTTCCGAAATTCAAACCTGGAGGCCCACCGGGAGGCAGTATTGATGTTGCTACGACATTGCAATATGGCCAAGCTTCCGGCTTCGGTCCATTGGCCGAATTTATCAAAGACTTTTCGATTAATCATCTCCATGGCGGGAGGATCCCATATGAGAATCCGGAAATACTTCTGACGTGTGGTAATACCGATGGTTTTGGGAAGGTGATGCAAATGATTGCCGAGAGGGGTGACAGCATGCTCGTGGAGGAGTACACATATCCGAACGCTATCCAGACAGCTGACCCCTATGGTGTAAACATATCACCTATCAAGGTGGACGCTGAGGGAATGCTATCTGAAGGAAAAGGAGGTCTTAGAGATGTTCTCGAGAATTGGGACCACAGAAGATTCGGTAGAAGACCTCGCTTAATGTACACTATCACGTTAGTTTCTCCTCCCCCAAAACCTCGAGTGTTGCCATGACTGACCCTTGTCCTTGTACAGAATCGGTCAAAACCCCACCGGCGCCACACTTTCTTTGCAGCGCAGAAAGGAAATCTACCGTTTGTGTGAGAGATACGATGTGATCATTATCGAAGATGATCCGTACTGGTATCTCCAGTATACTGAATCCTCGCACCCCAAGGACGCCCAAACCCTGCCAGCCAACTCTACCGGAATGAGATATCCTTTCCTGGAAGCCCTAACCCCATCCTACTTGACAATCGACACCTCTGGGCGCGTCATCCGTCTTGATACCTTCTCGAAGACAATCGCACCCGGTTGCCGTCTGGGATGGGTCACAGCACAACCAGCTTTCATCGAGCGCCTGACTAGAATCACCGAGAGTTCCACTCAAAGCCCCTCCGGCTTTGCCCAAGCGATGGTAGTTCAGCTGTTGCGCAATATTTGGGGTATGGACGGTTGGGTCAGCTGGCTAGAGGGACTTCGTGCCGCATACGAGGCTCGAATGAGAATAATGTGCAGTGTCTTGGATGCATACAAGGAGAGCGCCATTGTCTGCGAGAGCAAAGACGAAGATTCCATGATTGTGGACAAAGTCAGAATGTATTCTTTCGACGAGCCCATGGGTGGGATGTCCGTATGGGTTCATATCCACATCACTTCCCACCCAGCGTACGCCGCATACCTCGCTCGCGGGCACACTAAGCGAGAAATGATGAACCAACTGTGGAAGTATGGTGCTGAGGAACACATCTGTCTCCCATGTCCCGGCTGGATCTTTGGCGCGAACAAAAACATCCAGGAGGACAACAGTGCTGAGTTTTTCAGACTCTGTTTTGCGGCGATCGAAGCCGAGAGAATTTTGGAGGCAACCGAACGATTTGGAAGGGGAATTCGTGAGTTCTGGGGACTCAACGCTGACGAAATCGAGAGCTGTTGTTCGGCGGATGGCGTGCCGGAGGCCCAAGGAAAGGAAGCCGCATGGGGGTTGGGATGTGGCGGGTTCGGGTGTTGAACTTATTCGTCTTTTTCATTAGTCTTTCGTTCATTCACTAGGGCGCAATTTTTCATACGGTGGGGGATAAATGGTTGGGAAAGGTCATAACATTGCATTGGGAAAGGGGAAATGGAATCGGAAATGGGATGGGAGGGAATTCAAGGGTATAAATCAGGATTCTTAGCATTTGCATTGTACTCGTACATATAAAATTAAGCTCTTTCTACCCCCTCACAAATCCAAACCCTGGCACCTGTACGGTACTTGTACTAGTACCGTACTAGTACAAGTATCATAAATAATCTGTCCGGGGCGTTATACGTCAGACCGTTAGTGCCTCATCCTTCTGTGAGACATGTCAGCGTTTGGGCCTCGTTGATTGGGTGGCGCAAGGAGGTTTGTGCGTTCAACTACGATATGAGGTTGTTGTTCCTGGACGGTGACCGGGGGCGTGAATCAACGGGATCATCCTGAAGGTACGATCGCTGACACTGGAGATCATTGAGTGGGGGTGGTGGGGTGGGGTGGGGTATTTCCAATACGAGTATTGACTGGGGTGGTCGAATTTTACTCCTTTGAATTGTTCATCATACGGACCCAGTACGAGTACCGGTACTCTACTCTCCTCAGCTACTAGGCATGAGAGACCTCAGACTGTCCATCTACTTCTATCATAGCGCAGGCAGAGATCGGCTGAATATTATAGTTGGTGGGTCAGTGGATAATTCTCCAGATTATCCTCGGTCTGAGCAGGGCAGACTTTCATTAATTACACATGCTAAGCTACCCCATCAGAGTTCGTTACAGTGGCGAAAAATGTGATAACTTTATTCCCGGAAGACTTCAGGTCAAACCGGTCAGTCCATGCTTGAATCTGTCACAAATTGGCTTACGGTGCCATCCTTGCTAGCTAGCTGGTTAAATAGGGTACGGTAGTCTAATCTCAAACTCACTCTGCAACTACTTGTACAGTACAGCAGGAATACCGGATCATTCACGCTCACTCGTCATAACAGACCTTTCGTTAACAACCACTTGATAGAAACAAGAAATATTTATCACACCCCGGCTATACTCGTATACAATTAATCCCCCCCCCCCACACCCCCAGCGTCTCTCTTCAAAACTCCGCCCGGAACCCACCCTTCACCACCTTGCTCCTCTTGACGACAAAAACGCCACGATCAATCGTGTTGACAACGATGTGTCCAGACTTAAAGTACCCGTACGAGGCCCAGGTTCCGACAAAAGTAACATTTGGCGAGTTGTCGTCGTCGGGGAAGACGTCGAAATAGGCGACTTCCTGGACACCGGCACCGGTCGGGTCATGGGGGATGCTGGTGATATCGAGGATGCGAAGGCCGGCGCCGTAGTTGGACTGGTAGGCGTAGCCCTTGTCGACGTACTGGTTGTGGTCGATCGAGATGGCCTTGGACTTGTAGATTCCCGACTGGATCGGCTTTTCGAGGTTGGAGATGTCCCTGGATTCGTTGAGTTAGCTGGGGAGCGCTTCGGTTCTCGGAGCGGACGTATGTTTAAGGAGGGAGACTTGGATACCAGATGTATGTGGTCGCGTGCTGGTCGGCTGCTGGCCCGACCCTCCTGATTTCATCGAGCTCGTCGTCGAGGAGGAGGAAGCGCTGATCCTTCTCGTCGAGAACCCATCCTTGATGGGTGTAATTGACGCCTTCGTATGAGGTTTTGGAAATGATGTTAGTGGTGGCCTTGTCCGTGATGTCGTAAATGGTCAAGCTGTCCTCGTTGTACCCGTAGCAAATCTCCTTGCCGACGTATTTAGTGTGTGGGCCCTGGTAGATTAGGCATTGTGCACTATAATCTCTTCAGCGAATATCGGTACAAGGCGGCAATGAGCGAATCCCTACTCGTGGACATATCCGTCACCAGAAGCGCAGCCGGTCTTCTTGGGCTTTGAAGGATCGGAAACATCGATAAATATCAATCCGGAAGCGCAAGTGTCGTTACGGGGCTGTCGGGATTATTTAGAACGTGTTAGGCCTCAATTGATGGGAGGAAAGTACTTACCGCAGCTCCAACTGCAATGACATGTTCACTTGCTTCGGCGATAACAACGTTGTGAGACCTGCCAATGGGTAGGTCATTGAACCAGCCAGTAAGGTCAGTGGCAATGTTGAAAGTCTTAGTTACCCTCGAGAGTGAGTCCCATCTAGGGCGTATATCAATTAACTAGAGCGCTGTATTATCAATAGCTGTGGGCCATCATCACCATCCAGGGGGGGATCATACCTTCCTCAGATCAAAGATCTGAACACCATGCCCAACAGCCTCCGAGCCGATGATAGCATAGTGCTTGTATGTCTTGATCTCTCTCCACCAACTCGGCACACTCTGATGCGGAAGGCGACCAAGATAATCGAGAGTGCCCTCCGCCTTCCCATAGACGGGAACCCAATTCCACCAACCTCTCCCGACAACCTCAGCGAAGGCGGCGCCGTCCGCCTGACCAATAATGACGAATTCTCTCCCTTCTAGTGTAATTCCCCAAATTGAGCTTCCTAAATTATTCGCGAAAGAGGGTTAGCCGGGGACCGCAGCTTTGAAAATCCGGAATGAGGTGGTGATATTGCCTAGTCGTGTGGAATCGTTTCCAGCACTTCCCAGATCCTCGTGGCTCAGATGTCCGGTGAGGTCAAGATTGAAGCATTGATGGCTGTTGTTGGCGCCGGGGCCCAGCTGAATGATCCCGTCTTCTCCACATTCCATATAATAGTTGTGGCTCTTCCATGCTCCATCAGCGAAGTAACCTTTTCTCTCCAGATCGTCCCAGGTGGCTTGCTTGGTGCGGAGAATGGACCCCATCACCTCTCCGGAGGAATATCTCGCGTGATCATCTTGATCGACTGGCTTCTCTCGGGCAAGGGAAGTGGTCGCCAACAGCGAAAGACCAACAATGGAAATGAAAATTTTCATTTTTTTGGGGGGGGGCGTGGTCAAAGCTCCGAAGACTTGAAAACAAGAGCAATCGAGGGTAGGAATTGACCGCAGAGCTTGCTGGACTCCGGAAACCAGTCTGGAGCTCTCCACAATTTATATCCTTTGCTCAGACATAACCTCAGCGGCTTCCCACGTCCATGCTATCATATTCGGAGTCCACCCACTCCGTCAGAATGGCTCCCAGGGAAGCAGTCTGGAAGGTCCACATCTATCTATCCCTCAACATCGAGGTAACAACCAATCTACTACCGTTTAGTTACTACCGTGCTACGGATCTTCCACCCGAATACGCACTTCAGCAACAATCATATGTTAACATTGGGGGAATGAGATTTTAGATTAAGCCCAAAAACGGTGTGAGGACCGCATTGGAAGCACACCTAACATTCCTCACGCGGGAGTACCGGCCAGGAAGACGTTAGACCCTGTCACTCGCGCACGCGGCACGCAGCTTTTTTAGCTCCCTCGTGACAACGCGAAAACAAACCCGTGCGTGCAACCAAAAAAAACAAGTAATATGGGAAGGTAATTCTGGATCAATCTTTGGATTCTGTGGTTGCAGGCAGTGGAGGAAGCGGCAGTGGGGTTGCGGGAATGTCTCCGACTTGGCGGGCAAGGTACAGTACTTGTATTCGAGTACAAGTACTGTACAATTATCTACTCGCAGCCTCTATCGTGAACTTCATTGATGTACGTCACCTCGGATGAGCGCGGGAAGCTGGGTGACAAAGGTCCTCCAATAACCCTTTTTTTCCCGCAGGTCCTGAACAGCAGGAAGCTTGTTTCCTTACCCCTTTGTCTTCCCCCCCCAATTGCAGGCACACTTGAACCTGTCAGGGGTGACTCAGCGATCTCTCCTTATCCAAGTAGCTTTGTAAGAAATTGGGCGGTATGAGCTATCCTAGTCTCCGCCCAAGGTTGCCCGCCGCTTGGCGATTGCTTAGGTACAGATTTTGCGGGGCTGGTAAGTCGGTTTGGGTTACCCGCAGACTCGTATCACCGCGAGCGGAGCACTACAGTCCAACAGCAGTCGGGTTTAGATATGGGATCATCATAACTCACTCGTATATCCGTACTGCCCTTGTGTTGGAGGGAATGCGTTTAGGCTGGTGCCAGTATCTTGATTGATGGAATGATGGTTGGTATCATACCGTGGATTGTTGGGTGGGTCGAGAATGGCTCTTGGCTTGTGGGTTTTATCCTTTGGCCAGGAATGAGTGGCTTGTGAATGAATGATGGTCATGGGTTAATGGCTACACTGAATTGGGATGTTTGTATATATATACCATTCGTATCGCTATGATTGTCGTGAATGGGGATCAGTGGATAAAATGATATTCTATGTAAGGCTGACTTCGGTTTTCACCTTGCCCACCCTATTCCCCGATCGCCTGAAGTTAGGATGTGTGCAGCTACCCCAGCTGGCTAGCTTAGTTGACATGGCTTGAGTGTCCCACTCTGAGTTAGGTACGGGGAGGGGAGTCTTTCTATCGAGGTTATTCCACTAAGTCTCTGCGGAGAGGGTCTCCAAGGATCAGCACTCATGTGGATGACTTTTTGGAGAAAACATTTGAGCAACATTGTCACATGCTCTCCAAGGGAAGGGAAGGGCGCATAGAAATTGTGCGGTGAAGTGCATTCCCGTGTCGATCGCTCAAGCTGTAATCTTGGCCTTGCCACCCCTATATTGGACAGGATAAAGTAGCCTGCTCAAGAAGTGCCTCTCTCCGCCGTTCTGAGTGGAATAACGACCGCCCTATGGCACAGAGTCACTTGCAATGGGCCGCGCTTCCATTCCTTCTGCCAGGAGACAGCATTTCTAGGCTGAGATGTCTGTAACTAGCTTAAACAGAGAGGTCATAGGAGGGAACATGGATCAGTTCTAGAACTGAGATCACAGATTTCTAAAATCAGCCCGGATTCAGGGCCACATTAATTTCATTAACTTTTAGTCTATTGGTCGCTCAAAGCAAGGAGCACACTGCAACTGTCCGTCAGAAGCTGTAGCTTGGGAAGCAAGCAAGCTATTATCCGCCAACCCCAACACCACCACACTGGAATATAATTTATTTTAAGTTTGGTTGAGAAGTTTGATAACTGTTTAATTAATTATTTAATTATAAAGTTATAAATACTTATAAGTAGGTGGGCATCCTTGACATTCAAGCTCCTACTCTATACCCGCTGCGACACTCGATGGCCCGGAATAGTGGTATTAGTAACCGAGTGGGTATTCAAGGTTTCTGATCCCACGCGGATTGCCGGAACCCTACAGCTTGACCGAGAAGAACGGGCTACCTAGCCACCCCCTAAGTACATGATTTCACTACGACTACGAGTACCTCTCTAGTACCGCCCTGGACACTGAAATGGGAATTTTGGAAGGATGTAAATCCGGGCGATAACCCACATGCTCCACCAGGTTAGAGCCTGGTTAAGAACTGGCCCCAAACTCTGCTGATGTGATATGATATACACAAGCGTAGGTCCTATTACGTGACGGTTAGGGTATAGAAAGGCTCCGGGGAAAAAATCTTGCCTAGAAACCAACAGGAAATCCAAGGTAGGTTTCGCTATACGAGTAAAGTAGCACCCCATTGCCAGGGACCTCACTCCCCCGGATCCCCGTTGTCCCGGATGAGATTCTCTGATTGCAAAAATATTTCTTGCACCAAAACCCAACCTGTTGCCCAGGATAATCCGTTGTCCCGGACAAATTCTTGGATTTTTGCAGGATTTTGGCCACCCGGGACCAACGAGGTGCCACCGTACTCAAAGAAGCTCAATGTCAAGATCCCCTAGATAAGGACCGGATGGGCTATCGGAATGTAGAAACCAGGCTCGGCCAACTCGAGTAATCTCTTGCGTTGATTTCTCCCCATTCTTTCAACTGATTAACCAGCTAAATGCAGTGTTGGTGGTGACTAGCGGTCACCCCCGTTATCGCATGGCTGTGGTCAGGACTCATCACGGCGAAGGCCATTGTAGTAAGACTGGAGTTGGAGCTTGAAGGGTTGAGTTGGGGGAAGTCCGGAAAGCTTGGAATCTGGTTGTGATGGAAAATATAATGCAGAAGGTTCAGACTCGAAAGGTAGAAACCGAACTTTCATGCTTGGGGCTGGGTATGAAATTTTTGTTTTGTGCCCCCCGTAGCTCATCTATTCTACCTAACAGTTATAGCTAGGGACAGTCGATATTTTGACATGCTTCTGTATCGTTCGATTTGTTCAAGTCCTATAGCTGTGACCTTTGATGGGTAGAAGAAAGAAAGTGTGTGCAAACGGGTGGGGCGCAGGATTTCCAGAACCGCCAGAAGAGCGTAAACCTACGATCAGTATCACGGTTGACGTTCGGCCGTAGCGTGGCGCGGCAATTCTAGGAGCCTTTAGCAAAAGGTGTCTTTCAATCCGCTACACCAACAGACTTGTGATGCTGAAGAAGGGAGTACCTACCACTGAATGTATGTATGTCAGGGCCCCGCGAAAGATCCAAAACAGATGAAATTTCCTCCGTATATGTTGACGATTCTAGCCCAGCCCGAAGGAGACAATGCACCCGTTCGATCCCAAAACAAAATATCAGTTAATATTATCTAAAGAAAACTGATTCATGAAGTATGACCGCCTTTTAACGGTTGTTATACCATAGACATAGAGATTGCAAGAGACAAAATTGAATAGAAGCAAGGGATCTTGATTACTTGAAAGTCTCGTAATATGGAAATATATGGCTTCTATACACCTGATTCATCCTCTCAGCAGTGCGAGTCGCACAACAAGACTGGCTGAACGTGGGAGTTAACCAATATACGAAAAATAGGGCATATCATACCTTACCAAAATGGAAACAGAAACAGGCCCCGAGTGAGCCGTAGTGACCATGCCGCAGTGTCCTTCTAAGAGTTCATTAATGAGCAAACCAACGTGTTCGGCCATAGAACGATGAAAATTTCGCATCCCGTCCGCTCTGCGGTAAACAAGCATTGTATCGTCCGGTTAGTACTACAGTGGGTGACCATGTGGGAATCCCGGATGCTGAACTCTTTTGACCTCTTGCCACATTTCTTTTTCTCACCCACGAGAGAGTGTGAGAAAAAACGGTTGTATTTGTCTTGGATGGTGATTTCCAGGGAATTTTCAGAAAACAGGAATGAAAATTTCCTCCCGGCGCATTCGATCCCTATGCTGGTGAGAAGAAGCTCCGACCTTCAGGAGGTAGTAAATTACCCCGAGATATAGGGAATAGCGGCCAGCAAACACTATCGGTCGGTGCAAAGTGAAAATGCTCAGGAACTGCTAGTCTAGGTATAGAGGATGCGTGGACAGCGAGTCAGGGCCCTCGGGCGCAGGGGGTCGGGGACAGGTATAATACCAAAAAAATGGAGTAAATCTTTAAAGGCTCCCTGGCTAATCACATGTATGACAATAATAATTATGAGAATGAGAAAGGGAAGGAAAAGAACTAGGTTTGGGTCCCTGAGCGCGAATTCCAAAAAAGGAAAAATGAGTGACCGATGATGACGATGTATAACTACACCGTTGAAGCTAATGAGAAAGAGGTCTGATCACATCCTATTCACAAACTCTCGGAAGCTGAATCCACCACTAGATTGAAGCAGGTCCCCTCCTTCTTTCCACCGCCGGGTCCTGCCGATTTCACGCATCAAAAACCCTAGATATAGGTGGTGGGGAGCTCTAGAATCCATCGCCAAGGTGCTCGGGATGGAGAATACTAAAGAGTAAGGTCTGTCGCCTATTGGTGTTATGAAGTGGAGACTTCCTCCCGAATCAACATGTCCCACTGTTTACCCCGGAATCGCACCACCGTGACTCTGTTTCTTTCCCTTTTTTCCCCTCCCTTTTTGCCTCAGAACTAGAGGTGAAACCTCTACGGGTATTGCTATATCAGATAATACCACTATATTCTAGAGGACCAACAGACCAACCCCTTTGAGGCGTTGATATCTAGCTCTCTGAGGGGCATAGTGAGGGTGATCTCGGCCAACCACGTCTGGGTAAAAAAGCAAACCCCGTTAACGTATATATGTTAGAATAGCAATCCTCAATTGAGAATAGGAAGAGGAATTTTGAGTGACAATTGGTGAAGAATTGAAGCTAGCGAGACGCAAATGACCGGGACGCTTTGGATCCACATGGTAGACATGTAATCCCAATTGGTAGTTGGTGGGATACGGTGGCTAGGTGGAAGGCATAGTGTCATTATCGTAGTTGGAGCAGTCACGACCGTGGTTGTATGATGTGTCTTTCCAGTTATGAGGGTTTGCTCTCATGGTGGCGTGTTTTCTCTTCCTGTATGACACATGCTTAGGCAGGAACGAATCAGTCATGGACCACTTGTCGAACACATTCACTCTCTCCTCCACCCAAGTGGTTTTTTCCTCCAGTTCGCTATGAAGTGTCCGCCGCCTTTATTCGTTATCACTACAAAGTTCAGAAAAACAGGAGCACCGTAATAGCAGATTGAGGAAGGATTCCAACTTGAGAGAAACTTTTTGGAGAAGAGGTCTACTTAGTGAGCACTTTATATATATCCCTGGGATGCAACGATTTCAAGAACCCTACCGATTCCCCCACCCGCCGACAACCTTTTCTTTCTTTCTCGGTGGAATTTATTTCCTTCGGGTGATGCCCAGAGTTTCCGTGCATGTGTCCAGAAGAAATGGTATGTGACTCAGGTTAGTTAAGCTGGTGGGATAACAAGTACAGTACCAGTTTCATCGGCAGGCTACTACACTACACGACATACCCCCCCAGAAACGGTTTCTCCCATCCTCTGAAGCGTCTTGAAGATGTGAGTCTATATCCGATCAAATAGTGGAAGTTAAATTGGCTGCTGGTATCCAATACTCACCGGCACGATGTGAGGTCACTATTCGATCCAGTTCTGGCCTTCCGAACAACACTCTTCCAAGGATTGCTAACCCTGCCGAGGTTATCCCGAAGAAGAAAGTCGTCTATAGTAAGGGAGAAAGGGCAGCACCGCTTTACCAGTCAAACGCCGGCCTGGACCCGGGCTTGTTGAGGAGGGCGACTTATAGGAAAAAGCGGAAGGAGGCTATATCACAGGCGAAAAGGGGAGGGCGATTGCTATTTCGGGTTAAGTAATGACGAAGGATAGTTTTTTATAATAGAGGAAAGGCACAAATTCTTAGAATTAAACCTGAACGTGTAAACCGGAGGAGACTAGTTCTAACATCCCCGTCTCGCGTTCGGTCTGATTAGTCCGTGATCCCAGAAATCTCTCAGAGGAATGTTGGAGAAGCCAAAGAAGAGCAGACTTCCCCCCCCCCTACTAAATTGCATTCCAAAGTTGGTCTATATGGAAGACAGCTTATTCGTTGGATTACCAATACGGGGCGTTCTGTTATTGGACATTCTGGGTGGGCAGCTGTTTTCGCGTCATATGTGGTTAGGAACGAGGTAGCTGAGGTGCCTTTTATTTATTTCTTCTCATACAAACTGCTATTGGGCATCGGGGCATTGGGCTACTATTTGTTTGTTGTTTCGTGCTATGCAGTTCGTCACTGGGAGTTGAATTCTGGGGATTAGTTTTTATCATGGCTGCGAAGTGTGCGGGGATGACGGTGGGCAATTGATTACTTTGCTTTCTCGGTATTTCCACTGAGTCTGCTTTCTTTCTACCCCGTTCGGTTCCTATGGCTTGTGGGGCTTTGTTTGGTTTTCCAGAGACGTTGGTCGTTAGATGGTGTTTATATATCTCCTATTTCTATCCACACCTACTAGACTATCATCACCTCCATCCAACCTCCAATTCACCATTCTCTCACGCTCAGTTATACCAGACCAACGGCGGTCTCGCTCTCGCTCCTCGATTCTTTAATCCCCCCTCTCTACATCATTAGGTTCCCACCAGTTTACTATTCGAGCAGCCCTTTTACCATCCCTATTTTTAGGAGCTGGAAATTCCTGTATACATGTATATTTATACATATATCCTCGCAGCCCAAATTCTGCAACCCTCGCGGACCAACCCACCTATGGAGGCGAGGAGGCGGAGCCCTCGCCGCCAACTTTCCCACTCTGCCAGGATCCCTGCGCAGAGCACAGGCACAGCAATGGATAGAAAGAAGAAGTCAGGGCAATGGCTTTTCCACGCATCGCAAGTGGTGCATCTCTCAAAGGTTACAGGAAGTTTCGCTTATACGTGTCTACAATATACACTTACCCCCTAACCTGCGGTTGGTATGAAAATCGTTCGCGATAACTTCTCATGTATGGCATTGTATAATAACCGACAAATGATAACGACGGTGACACTTCACAAAGTGCAATAGAGCTTCGCGTCACCCACTTATTCCACCTGCGTGAGAGGAAAAACTGGATTAGTCGGAGCGGTTCACGCGACCTGATCCGGGCAGTCGTTTGGTCGGAAAGGGGGGCATCCCTATCTTCTCGCATTCGAGATTATTCGTGACTTGCTTGGTCCCTATTATAGTAGTCTAACGAAGTCACACAGTCGCCTTGGCATAAATAAAGCTGAAAGCTATGGATTTCACAATGCCAGAGCACGGGTGACGCCCTGGAACTTGAGGCTACTATTCTCGACCCGGGGTACGTCCAGAGCAATTTCCCTAGGTTATTACCTAGCTCAACGGTTGTAAATATCACGATCCCCGCATCAGGCGTATTAAAGCCACCAGTGCATTAAACACTGCTGGATCTTTTACCTCGCCATCTCCAGCATACTCGAGTATATTGCATCTCAACGTATCCCATCCCCCAAAATCCTCATAAACCGGCCAGTTTACAAAAACTCTTCGGCGCAATATGATACCACCTCTATCACCACATCATGCCAACAGCGCCTTCTTGTAATTCTTAGCAGTATACTTCCGAAGTACAGTATTCGCAAACCGTCTCTCCCTAGACTTCTCCAATCCGCATACCCCCCCTCCGCCGTATGATTCTACCAAGATAATTATCAATCCTATCCTACATACCCTACACTCTAGCAATCTGTTCCCCCCCGCGCGCGCTAAGGTTATCTGCTACTCACCCTAACATCCGAGAGTACCGGTAGTGCTCCTTGAATTCACCAATCAACCGGCTTAGAACTTCCCTACCGAATGAGGATATCGTTGTCAGATGTACTCGAGTAGATAAAATATCTCAGCATATCGTGAACCCCATCAGTGTTCCTGCTCATTTTGTAAACCTCGGTTAGCACTTCACCGTGGTCTTCAGCCTCTCTGGCGGTTATCATAGACCGTTCAAACTCTTCGCGATTAACCAACAGCCGCCAAAACACAAACCGGAGCTCTGCACAGATGATCTATTCGGTTTCCAAAATGGGGAGAGTATCCCATAGTCCACCGGGGGGTCTCAAAGCGTACCGAACTTCACTGCCATCTTTCTGGGATCCCAGGGAGGATTAAATTGCTCCCATGTGGTGTGATGCATACCAACGACATTCTTTCGATGAATGGTTTAAAAAACGTAGTTTATATTTCTACCCAATAAGGAAAACCTATCCAGGTAATTATCCTCTCTAATCTCCCTTGCAACCGACGCAGGATGAATGATATCGAAGCGCACCTCGGAGGTCCATGTCCCGCGGCACAACACCACAACACCAACGAGACACCCCCGTCCAGGTCCTCCGCAATGACTACCGATTCTCCCTTTCCCATAAGGTGATGAACCTTCTTGTGCGGCTCAAAGAACTTGAGAAACCACGGGCGGCAATATTTCCGGCTTCAGTCTCTATGATGAGAGCCTGACAGGCAGTATCTTCAGAGTAGCTTTAGATGTTGCCAGGGATTGGGACTGGATGTTTGTGGTTAACCATCTTGCCATCCGCACCGTACTTTCCAAGGATGTAGTGGCCGATCTTGAAGATTGTCGCATTATAAAAGTGGAATTTGATCGAGCTTAGGGCGGGGGGTTGGGGTTTACCACAAGCTTACCGCGCAAGTCTCTAACGTGTAGGAAAGGTGAACCTACGGTATGATAGATGGATCCTCCATTCTTCAATAGTCAGTAAAGCTTAGAACGTCTGTACCCCCGGGTCGGACGCACCGTACAGTACTCGAGTACTTGGGGCTAAGACAGGCTGAGGCACAGCTGCGGCTCCTCCCGCTGTACTCCCGGCTAAAGAATTGAAGGCAGTTGTGTTTATGCAGGCACAAATCCTGCCCAGGAGCATACCATCCTCACCTTTGCCCCCCCCTACTCGACTCCCCTTCTGACCAGATAAGGTATCCGGGGCAATATTTAATGTTGAATATCAGATCTGTTCCAGGTAATCAGGGTTCCTAGAGCAGGTGTAAGGCATGAATGAGTTCAGTCCTAGTGTATCCCCCAGGAGTTTTGGAGCTGGAGGGGAGGATCCGATGTCACGTAGACTATCATAACCAGAAAGGATCCTCAACATAAAACCGGTTGGTGCATCCCCTCTCGCGTCCCCGTACGCAGTACGAGTACCATACCCTAGGCATTTACAGGCATTCTCGAGCCTGGAGTCTGGTGGTTGGGTTAGGGCTACCAGCGAAGGCACAGGCAAAGAAAGGTATCATAATATCATATCATAGCCGAGATCTCAAATCTTATCTTCCCCTATGTCGCAATCACCTACAATGAGTTAAGCTTCAAGACAGAGAAGACGATTGCGTCCCCAACACCGGGAATCGCGGCACCACACGGTCGATATACTGGCTGCCGGTTTTACCTATCATACCAGGGGACTCTTTTTTTTTTTTTGGCAATTCCTCATCCAGATTCAAATTCTTCACGACCTGGTTGGTTTCCCAGAACCTCCTCCAGAATATTTTCGCAGAAAAGCACCTACCATCTAGCTCATTCGTAACTCGGGGATATTATTAACCCGGGCTACAACGCACCGTAACTTGTATTACTCCTGCGAGGTGAGATACATCCCTAGGATTAAAAAAAAAATCAGAACAGAAAACTTGCGAGCAAAATATCGGTACTGGTAAGTTCGAGAAACTTGCACTTCAAGGATTGCTAAATACTTATACCTATACTTCGAGTGCTGAGCCCCGGGAAGGCAGCAGGAAATCTCTCAATATCTCTCCTCCCCTCTGCGATAACCAGTTAATTCGGCCGATACCCTGTTGTATCACAAAACCAGGTAGAGCGAAGACGTCGGGCTATACCTTACCTTTGAAAAACCCATCGCCAAAAAAAAAAAAAAACTTTCACAACCCTCATCCGACCTATTAATGATTACAACTCCCACACCGCAAAGACAAGAGAGCGGTTTCACGCCCTGGGCGCAGATCGTTCCCACCGTGTTCCTTTTTTCCTTTTTTTTTTTCTCTCCCTCCGAAGTATTACATCCAAACTATCTAGAACTACGTCTTCCGATAACTTCCTCATCACGAATCACTCGCGGGCGCTCTTGGTAACTGTACTTGTACTGTACTGTACTCGTAAATAGAACGGGATTCTTCGCCCGGGGAGCTGGCGGCGGATCGACTACCGTACCTTACTCGGAGCGCATTGGGCGAAAGGTTTTCCCTTTTCACCGCTTCTTTTACAGTTATGTTCCGGCGCTTCCACCTCTCTCTCCAGCTGGCCGGCCAATCGACGCTTTAACCCATCCCGTCCCAGCCGTTGTGTGTGTGCGTCCCTAATGGTTAGGCATCACGATAATAGTTCTACCTGTACTGTACGGTATGATGCCAAGCAACAGCACGACAAAAGTCTGTTTCTCAATGTTTTCGTGTAAACACCCGAACTCACGACGAACCCGAACGTTATACAGACAAAAACATTCATGTTTCCGCGGGGGAAATTTGGGCAAAAAAACAAAAAAAAACCGGTTAACAATAACTCACGATAATTCCGAGTTTTTAAGATCGACATATGCATATATGAAGTGTTCATAATATCAACAACAACAACAAAGATATATAGTCTATATATATATAGCACTCAAGTGTAAGCTGGTATATAATAATCTGCAAATAACTCCCCAGAACAAACCAATCGCAATCTCCCACCTCTACCCAGTGACCCCATAAGGCATTCCCTGTGCCAGTACTGTACGAGTACAGCACACACACAACCCCCTTCACCGCTCGCTCACCCACTCACAACAAACCTCCGGTGCGGTACCGCATCCCTCGCCGAACCGCCTCCCTCCAAGCTATGATATGATAGCACAATCACCACCACCCACACAATACGAGTACAAATACAATGCCATGCAATACGTTACCACCTGTCCCCCCCCCCCACCTGCAGTAAACTGTACACCTCGGCCAAACCCATAGCACCGCAAACCCACGGCACACCCCAATCACTTCCCTCATCCCACCGGCACACACCATTCAGGTACGGTACGACACCAAACCGGACACAACACGCAGTGTAACCATGAGCGCATTAATCTTGCCTGCATCCCCGGAACGCGCACAGACGGATCTACAGGTTGGGAAAAACGCGGGGTTCGCCAAGATATTTGTTGTTGGGTGAAGAAGAAGAAAGAAGAAAAAAAGCAGGAAGGAAAAAATGGAGTGGAGTGGGCAAGTGTAGGATTATTCTCCGATGCATTTTGCGGTTTTGGGGAAGAGGTGCGGTATCATACTCGAGTTACTGTAGGTGTGGTGTTTGACCGACGGGCGGGGAGTGAGGAGGGATAGAAGAGGTGATAGCTCTGAGGAAGAATAGGCTACTATGAGGTCAGGGGTCACGATACTTGTAAATAAATCACCGCTAACCTACCTACTCGAGTACAATGCTCAATACGGCACTCACCTTATCCCCAACTCAAGACCATCACGGGACGCTCCCCCATGATACCTGCCTCCCTTCCCATAACCTCCTCCCCCGCCGGTCCCCCCTCCCACCTCCATACTCTACCCCGTCGACCTCACCCCTCCATCAAGAAAAACCAACCCAGGCACATACCCACAAACCACAACCGCACAACCGCTATCAAACAGGGTCCCTCCATGGTCACACCGCCAACCCCGCATTCAACGCCTCCAAAAAAGCAAAAGCAAAAAAGTGAAGAAATAAACTAGAAGCGAAAAAGTGGAAAAGTTCGGTAGTTGGGTTCGGAATTGGATAACGGAGCGGCAGGGTGTGTGATGTGAGACACAAGGATGAGGGACGAGGTAAGATCCGCTATTCGTGGTGCCATGAGTACTCGTACAGTACACTTGCCGTACTCTACTCGTACGGTTTGAGGTTCGCGTGGTGCAGTACAAGTACCGTATTGTATGTATGTAGGGTATGGCGCTCCAGAGGCCAGTTTCGGGAGTTTTACGACGGTGAGGAATTGTTTCCACCGTACTGTAGCTTGTGCAGTATGATTTGAAATAGCGGTAACTATGCATACTGTGGGAGGTCGTAAGATGGATACCGCATTACCCTGGCAACCCAACCACCACCACCACCGCAAAGCAAAAAAGAACAAAAAAGCCTCCCGGCGATCCCTCCCCTCCCTCCTCCCGTTCCGAAGATCTTCCGTTGATATCATATCTGTCCATCGGCTATCATATCACAAGAGACAGCGCAATTGGATGCGCGTGTGGACTTGCCGTAGAACAGAACGGAACGGAACAGACCCTACCGTGCCCCCGCCTTGAGTCCCGATAGCTACAGCACCACTGATGGAGGGTCCAGGGAAGATGAAGCCCCGTAATATCACATCACACCATACCATATCGCATCCAATCAAGTAATTTTATTTTTAGGCCAAGAAGAAGCATTTACAAACAATCCTTTCCTTCTCTTTCTTCCATTCTTTCCTTCTTTCCTTCTTTCCTTCCTTCCTTTCCTCCCTCCCCCTTTCTCATCCCTCTCTGTCGCCTCCGCTGAGGGACCGGCGAACGGATGGTAAAGGAGACATGAAAAAGATGAAAAGAAAGAAGAAAAATGTAGCATGAAAAACAAAGAAAGAAAACGAACAGACCCAGAGAGTGCAGAGCAGAGGGCAAAAGCGACGACTTTTCAGCTAACCGTGTCCCGCTGTCCAATCAAAACTATGAGTGGAGTAAAACGCACAAAGCCGAACGCACAACGACCGGAAGCGAGAAGGAGAGGAAAAGGGAACAAAAGGGAACAAAAGGGAAATCATAGGAACGAGGGGGGAAAAAAGAAGAGCAAATCCCACAAGAATGAAAATGGTGATGGAAAAGGAAGAAAATTGGAAGGAAACTAATTGTCTCCGTCCATTTCACTGGCCGGCGTCGCAACGCCGCTGGCAATCCAGGATGCACCATTGGTCTTCTCCTCAATTGGCCAGACCTCCCGTGCGTACTCCTCCATGCCTCTCCAGCCGGGCCAAAGAGCTCGAGAAATATCTGTTGCAGAGCCCTCCATCTCTGGCCTGAAGTAAGGAGCACGCCGCTCGCACAGAACCTTCACGATCCCCTCCAATTGATCCCGATACCCAGACGGGATGGGGATACGGATTTCCAGGGGGTGGGGCTGGTAGTTTACAGGCCTTCCTAGACCTCTAGAGAAGGCACTGCAAACTTGCAACGGCGTGAGGACTTCAAAAGCAAGGGGAATTCTAACACCCGGCTCTAGTTAGTCGCTACTGATATATGTCGTAAGCTCGAGGGGGGAGAAAACGGAGAAGAAAAAAAGCATACCTCTGTCCGCCCCACCGCTTCACCCCATCCTTGAAAATCTGGATCACCGCCGCCCCGAGGTCGTGCTCCGTGTCGATGAATGGGATAGGGTAATCCGGCGGAAACGGCGCCTTCCATACAAAGCTCCCATCCGCTCGAGGAGTCAGCTGCCACAGGGGATAGGGTCTCGATGAGAAATTGTTATGATAACTGCCCACATAAACGAAGGTAGCCGGCAACCCCAGCTGGCGAATGTACTGCTCAACCGTGAATTTGGTAGCCCAGAGGGGTAGTGGGTCCTGCGGGGGATCATGTGTCGAGTGGTCTGTTAGTGACGAGAATATGTAGTGTCTTATGCCGGCCTTGAGCGCAGCCAGAGCAAGTGATTTTCCAGTTGCAACCTCGTCCGTCCATGCGTATGGCGTAGTGTTGACAAAGGCATACTGTGCACCGGCGAATAGCTTGTCCACGAATGTTTGATCGTCAAGGGAACCTTCCAGCAATGTTACATTTGGGAGAATCTTGAGTTCGGCTGATAGTTGAAGGTCCTTTTTCAGAGACCTAAGCTGCGCACGCACTTTGTAACCAACAGCAGAGGCTACCCGGACAACGCTAGAGGCTTGCCGGCCAGTGGCGTTCACCACAACCAGCTCCTTCGGCGGTGTGGTATTTGGTGCGGGTTCTTGACTTGGGTCTGTCATCTCACTGTCTATGACGTTGCGTGGGCCGGGATTTGCGGCTCTTGACATTCAACGGTGGCGGGTAGGGAAAGTTTGGTGGGAAGAAGGGATTCCCTCGTTGGTCGTGGGAAACAGTTCAACTAGAGCACAACTTTCAAAGGCGGACCCAGCTGATAATAAGCGTGAGAAGGCGTAAATAAGGGCTTAGTTGAGGATGGAAGGGATGGGCAAATGACCGGGGATGGGGGACTCGAATGATAGAAAAGGCGGGGATGAGGGGTAAAAGAGGAATTGGAAGAAAAATAATCAGATCTAATATAAAGTTTTTCGGGGAAGGGACGGGCACTATCAGACTTTGCCCCACTAATCCCGTTGTAGATATAGAGAGTGTTCGGTTCTGGTGATGATTTCAGTGGCTTTGCGGTACGATAAGATCTAGAAACCAAGGTTTCCTGCCTGGGTGAAAAAAGAAAGAGTTCAATCTTGTATTCCGGGACTCGGATCAACTGTACTCGTATCTTCGTATCATTCGTAATCAATAGGAAGGTTGATACGCGTTCTTTGTGTCTGTCAGTGAAGGTTTCTAAAGCCGGGAAAAATCAGTATCTGTTCTCTCGCTATCTCTTGGTACTTTTTCCAGTCTTTATCCCCCTGATATTTCCACCTTCTTGTTGTTTATACTTCCTCACCCAGCTAGTCGGAATAGCGGCAGCCCTCACCCCTTCTCATCCTTGGACTTACATTTCCTGTAAATTAGATTCTCTTCCACCCTCTCCTTTCTCAGCAGTGAATGGCCTAATCTCGGTCTCCCTCGTTGTTGAAAGGGAAAAAAAAAAAGGATCAAGTCAATTGATCACTCGGACAGCCGTCGGATAGCTCTCTTCTTCAATCTTCTCTGACACTTTCCCCCTCCCCCTCCCTTTCCTGCGCTCCCTCTTGCCCCCAGTTAATATAGGATCCCCTCCTTCCTCCTCCTCCCCTTCGGACACTGGGGCAGCTACTCTACTGCTCTAGGAACCGCATCAAACTTACTCACGATGATGCACTGGGAATGACGTGTGAACCTCGTGCCATTCACACCACCGACAAGGACATCGAATCCTACGCCGGCAAGTCAGAATCGCTGGCTCGGGATATTTAATAAGCTCCCCCAGTTATCACGCCGGGACTTGAACTACACCAAATAAAAATAATCATCGAGAATTGAGATGTCTGCTAGTCCGCGATCCCTTTCTGACACGAAGGAGCACCTCCCAACACTTGTCTCTGCATTTCTAGCAGCTCAAACCCACTTCACCTCACCTGAGTCCAAAAAGGCGCCAGGCACGGAGCAGAATGAATGGGGTAATAGCAGGGGAGGAAGTGGGAGATCGGTTGGTGTGCGGTCAACCCAACCCACAACCGGTGCATTTCCATTGCCCACCATATCATCGTCGTTCGCGTGTAGTTGAGAAATGGATTAGCACTTTGGTGGCAGAAAGAACAGGAAAGAAGGATAGAAAAAGAAAAGAAAGTGAAGGTGAAAATGAGAAGGAAAAAAAGAAAAAAAGAAAACAAAAAAATCATCAAAGGAGAAAAAAAAGCAACATAAGCAATCTAACCACAAGTACCATACTCATACTGAGCACTCTAGTGCTCGAGTACTGTACTCGAGTACTCGTACAGTACAATACAGGGCGATACCACACACTACTCGAGTATAGAACCCACGTTCAGGCACCCAAGCCCCTTGTTCTCGGGAGCGAAGGAGGTGAGAAAGATATTTCTCTCCACCGGAGCGGGAAAGTTTACGTAATTCCCTACCCCCCCTTTCCTTCGAGTCACCGGACTTGGAAGGGCTCAAATTGGAAGAAATAGCGGTATGGAAGGAAGGGGGAAGAAAGCTTGAAGGAAGGTAAAAAAAGCAATGAGTCGGATGGGCAGACAGCAGAATGTGGGAATGAAAAGAAGAAAAAAAATCGATAAAAAGAAAAAAGCCGTTCGGTGCATTAGCTGGTGCAGCACGGAAGGAACATCTCGTCTCGGAAATTATAAAATGTCTTGGCGTGGTTCAATGTCTTGATTCTGGGCAATTGGGCACACATGGCACAGTGGCACTTGCACTCTCTTGGGTATGAGATGCTCAGAGATTATTTCTACAGTGCAGTGCAGTACATTACAGTACAGTACAATACAGCCTGCTGAGCTTAGTGATGCATCCAACACCCCACTTCGTGTCAGTTGCTATTTTGCCCGCATGCCGGTACAATTGAAGATGTTACAAAAGCTCGGAAGAGCCTACCGACCAAAAGAAAAGAAAAGAAAGAAAAAAAGAAAGAAAAAAGGAGAACGAGGAAGGCTGCACCACAATGTAAGGCAAGGCGCTCAACACTGATATAGTTCTCTCTCATATCAATGCAAAGGATGCAAAGGAACTGCCTTCGCATCCGTGGCAGACTTTTATTTTCTCAGCTTCGTATACCGGCACTGTACTTGTAGAGCACGAATATCATGCTACGGTAATCGTGCAATAGCACCTATGGTACTTGCAGTGGTTCAAGTCATTCATCGAAATTCGTGGGAAAAGAAAAGAAGGGAAGGGAAAAGAAAAGAAAGAAAAAGAATCAACCCCGCTGGGACCGTGCACCCCTGAAGCCCCAACCGAACATCAATCGCGCAATGAACACAGAAACCATCCACTAAGGACCTGAAGAGGTTTGCGTTGCTTCGAACCCTTCTCCCATCGTGGAGATGGATTGACTGTATCTTGCTTGTACCCCTGCCCTCCGCGGAGAAAACCCCAATATAAGTTATATAAAGAGAGGGCAGAAAAGGTGTGAGGTCGGGGTTGCACGGTCCAAATCTGTATTAACGTCGATACCAGTAAATAGAATAGCGGGTTACCACCATTACTCGAGTACTCGAGTATATTGCCATGGGGTAACAACCCTTTTTCAAAAATATGATACGTGGAACCTGGCCCTTCCAGAGAACTGCCCCATGTGCTGTGAATAAACGAGGAGAGTGGGATTCTGTTAGCTACGGGGAGATCGTGAATCGTCGTCATGTTGGGGAAAAAAAAAACTTGTTCCTCCGACGATCCAGCCAAAACCGTCAAACAAACAAACAAACGTCCACCCATCCCAACAATCTCTTGCTGTCATCACTAGAGCACGGCTATCAGGTTTCTAAACTCTTGATCTTCTTCCCCCTTCGGCTTCGATCACGATTCACGGAAGATTTTCAAGTCATGCGGCCGATTTGGACCAGCCCTCTCATGATCTATATTTCTCTCACTCGCCGGCCCCTCGGATGAAATACTAACTTTATTGTTTTCCTCTAAAAATTCCCAGATTATGAAAGTCTATCTACATTATTTCAGAGCAGAGCAAGGGAAAAGGAAAGAAGTGCCATCGTTTGGCTCGGTATACGCACGCACCTTGATGGTGCCCTCTGACCTGCTACCCTTGTCATCAACAGCGGGGTAAGGTGCATGTTACCGGGTATAATACCTGGTTTATCCGTCAGATCAATTGTTTGGAGTATTGGCACACCTGGTGTTCTGTAGTCGACATTTCGACCGCTAAGTTCCCAGTGCGTAGGGATTGCGGGAGGGAGAGCACTCGAGTAGAAAAAGTAACTGCGAGGGGAGGTGGGGAAGGAAGATACCGATGCCGAATGATAAGGACATATCAGGGCACGAACAGGGGGTGCAAAAAAATTCCAAAAAAAGGAATAAGGGCTATCGTTTTCTGGGGGAGTAGTTCTATACCTTGTTAGGCACCTGCAAGCTCCCAACACCTCAGTTTGGTAATTTTGGTAAACTCATTCGGTCTACTTTCTTGATCCCATTTGAGGGTTTTGAGCTTCAATTTAGCATGTTCCACCTCCTCGGTGTGTAGGTGTGCCCCGCTCTCCCTTAGTAACGAGACGTTGACTTCAATACCGGCATCGGCCGCCAGAAATAGGGGTGTTCTGCCATCACCGTTACGCAAATGAACCGAAGCTCCTTGAGAGAGAAAATCACGGAGTATGTCAATATTACGGCACGTGGAGGCCAGGTGCTAATCGAACGCTGTTCGTTAGAAAGAGAGGGGAAAAAAGTGGAATGCAAGGTTAGGCAAAGAACGGTAACAATATCCTTCCCGGGTGAGAGGCGCTGGAGTTATGTAATAGTGGACCGGAGGGCACAAGTGATGGCATAGATCGTGAAAAGGTTGTCGTAAAAGCGAAAGGGGAAAGTACATAGGTAGCGTCGAGAGGCGGCATTGGACGCCGTAATGGCCTTTTTTTTTAAAAAAAAAAAAGAGGAAAGAAAAAAGGGGGAAAAGAAAGTGGCTCAGTGGACAAAAGAAAATGAGACTGACCAGCGGCGTGTTCCCCGAGTAATCAAATTCATTCAGCAAAAACTCGTTTGATTCCTTCAATACAGATGAAATGCTTTTTTGGTCCCCCTTTTTTATGGCATAGGCCAAAGCGGTCAATCGCGAGAGCTTTGGTGGTAGCAACGAGTTCGGATGCGAAAAGCTAGTTGCAGATTGTTCCGTTAGCTCGCCGCGTAAGGATAAGGACATCTGTCGACGAATATCAGTAACGGTGAGTTCGGGTTTCGCCAGGAGGCAGGAAAGTTTCGTGAGCGCAGCTAGAGTTTAAATTTTTTACACGTCAACTTGGTGGCCTTTTATAATCCTCTTTGGTGGTGTACGAAACGACGTTCAAATAAGCTTACTAGGAAACGAGGGAAACGAGGGAAAAAGCAATAATGATAACGATCAACGAATCTCGGTAGAGCAACAAGGAGGAGCAATCTCAAGAGTCGGCAGACGGAATAAAGCTGAGGTGAGAAATTTACGGTGGAGGCAATAGTGAAGGAATGAAAGTGAAAAAATAAAAGAGTGAAAAAATAAAAGAAACGAATGGAGCAGGAACTACCTTCGGTGGTCATGTCTAGCCCAAAAACAATGCCAGCTCTGGCTAATGCTGTGCCAGAAGCATATAGGGGACTAACGCTTCCGGTTATGCCTATGAATTGGTAAGCCACATGATGCATGCTCCTGTGAGTTCCAAATCCACTTCCTACATTGGGTCACATTGACAATGACAATTCCATTATCAACTCCCTTCCTCAACACAGTCATCAACCGCTCGTCTTCGGGCATATTGCCCGCTCCGAAGGTCTCAAGGACTAATCCCCTCAAGTTCTCCAACGCTAGGATGCCTTCAATCATCTCGGGGAGGATGCCAGGGAAGATTCGCAAGCAAGCGACATGAGCTGTGGATAGACTTGTCTGTACGGAAAAGGGCGCAAGAGTAGATGGACGGTTGACCAAATTCCACTTTATATTTGTGGATATTCCAACCTTCCCAAGAGAGTTGAAATTTGGAGATGAGAAGGCACGGAAGTCGTGAGCATTGCTCTTCGTCGCTCTGAAACAAATTAGAACAAAGTAGCAAAATCGAGTAGGATAAAGGATGAGATGAATTACCGGTTTCCACGAAATAGCCTATGGTTAAAGAAAAGGCAAACTTCAGGTACCATATAATGGCCAGCAATAATGAGACTTCCGAGAAGATTGTCTGTAGCATCGTTATGGAGCTCCGCCATTGGTGCTTGGGAACCTCTTTAAAACGGAACAAGGGTGAGTAGTTGGGTCGAAAGGTGAGGAAACGGGGCTCACGTTAGGATAATCGATTTCCCCAAATTACTGATCATAAAGCTCAGTGCAGAGCTTGTGTAAGCCAAGCTATCGGTACCGTGCAAGATCACAAACGCATCAAAAAGTGTATAATTGCCTAGAACCGGTATTAGGATATTCTTGAGAAATTGGAATGCCTGCAACTCTACGTTTTATTGATTTTGCAATCTCACCCCAACCTTTGGCGTTGATACTCGAACTATCAAGGAGGGGGTTGAACTCAAGAATTGCGTATCGAATGCGGCGAGCATGTTTGGAAGGAGGGGTGCCTATGTTACATTTGCGTTAGGCTCGAGCACTCGCAGCAGCCCACGATGCAGTGGGCTAAATTGTAGACTCACGCAAAGATTCGAGCATCACTTCCGTCTCGTCATCAGTCATGACAGGAAGACATTTAGTAGGCGAGCCATCATTGAAAGACGGCCTGGGTTTGAGATAGGCATCGAGAAAGCCAGTGGCCTATAGCTGGGTATTAGCTTTGTGCAACCGTCATGAGTTCTAAGCCTCACGTGCCCAGCTCACAGTCTTGTGGAGCGACGGGCGCTTCTCCTCCAGGGAACAACAACAATTGTTCCAAGGCAGCTCATTTGCGAATTTCCAATCCATGTTGCCAATGCCATGACGCAACACCATCACCAAAAGTATTTTCGGTTGGACCACAAGAGAGGGAAAAGGAAAAAGGGGAACGCAAACTTACGGGAACGTAACCGTCTTTTCCCATACGCATGCATATCGTCCCTCCTTTTAACGGGGATAAGGAGTTAGCAGAGGTCTTGCCCGGAAAGATGAGAAAAAAATGAATGCGATAGGGACGATATTACCTGTCATGATTATTAAAACCCTGCTCTCCGCAACGGAATGGCCGTCTTCCCCAGGGCCATCAAAGGTAGGAAAGCTTGACTGAGTTGGCGAGCCATGTTGGGGACTTCCGTACGCGGGCGTACTGTTGGTGGTTGAGCTACTAGGAGTCGAGTTGTGCGGACTTGGTGTTGTCAGGTGAAAAGTCATAGCTTCCTTATCTTGTCGCTATCAGGTTTGTGGGTCCGAGTATGTAAGGTTCACTGTTAACCCGGAAACTGACAGAGGTTGGGGAAGAAAGGGGGGGGGGGTTATATAGATGCAGGGGCGAGTTGAGGGTTTCTTTGCTCAAACCTGTGGTCGCGGGAAAAAAATCAGGAACACAATGAGTGGGTGGGTGACGGATCAAGAACTCAGGGAGAGACATTCGCGGCGTTGAGGTTTACTGGGCAAGTTATTGATAGGTATATGGGAACGCGGAACAATGTCCACATTACTCAGCATACCTCACCTTTCCCGAAGGGAAGCCGTTGCCGAAATCTGGATCTGTTAGACATTTACGGTAGATAACTGTATCAGTAAGTTATGCACAACAAGCATCTGATCATCATCACGAGTCATCCCGGCAACCTGGCAGATATTTCACACACGAAAATCGTCAGGTTATGATCCATCCTGCTTCCACCTAGGGACTTCTACCCTTTTCCCTCCCTTCATTTATTCCGCCTTTGGATCCTTGGAAATTTGGGTCGCTACGGGGTAAGCATTTTCGTGCACTCGGGTGAGCGACGAGTTGATCTCGCTCTCGAAGCCGGTAAACTTACACCGGAAAATATCGGAAATATATCGCCTAAGGTATTATTATACGCAACTATTGGCGTCGGTGAGGCCCTTTGTAACGAAGTCATTGGGGATTTGGGCACATTTTGAGACTTTTTTGCTTGTGATGGGGCAAAATATGGGGTAATCTATGGGGCAATATTTTTCCGGGGATGCTCTGCTGGGCGCCAGTTGGAGGGCCCGCGGTTGGGTTAACCGTAACTGTGATACATGACTGTCCACTTCGCTTTCGAGTTTCCAGGGCTCGGGACGAAATGCAGCCTGGGTTCCTTTCATATGATACCCGCAGAGGCTTGTTAGGCAGGGAACGGCTGAAAATTGAATTCTAGCTCTGAGCTCCTCCTCCTGCGTGCCGCGCCTGCAAGCAGCTGTTGTGCAGTCCCGGGTCAGCGGATTGGAGCGGCTTTTCCTATGGTGGTAACTTACCAAGAAATGCGCAACTCCGGTACACCAAATTGAGACTCTATATGGCACAGTACCGGTTGTGCTGTATCCTATTGAGCACTGCTGTGAAAGGAAATGCTAATTTGAGTGCATAGCAGCATACGCAGGATGTGGTCTTGCGCAGAGTCGTATTCGTTTTTGTGCCGCTCCGTTGGCAATATGCCATACGGGTAGTTGGTCTTGAGAGCTACGATTCAATCAGGAGAGAGCTTGCACCCATCTTAGCACCGGTATGTTTGCATTTTGCTAGGTGGTCCCCTGAAAAACCTACTATTTCGCATCGAGTTCCTTCAAATTCCCTGAGCGAGAATTTTAAAGTTTAACACATATCATAGGCATCTGGGCAAAAAAAGGCAGACGGGCGAGTTTAGTTAATTTTCCTAAAGCCTTCTCCAAGCAAGAAGCAATCCGGATTCCGCCGCGCGAGGATTTATACCCCGCCACGAGAAAGATTTCACAAGTTCAAGATACCACCAGTTCTGACCACGAGTGATAAATTATGAAGTCCTCAAACCCTCAGTTGTGCAGGAAAAAAAAGAAGAGGGCCAGAAGCCAATTTAGACTAGAATATACACGCAGGGAGATATTGGTGTATTAAGGTATGAAGACCCTGGTGAGTTCTCCTTAGAACATCAAGGTTCGGGGCCCCCATCCCCGTAATAGGATCACATCCCCCAATAGCATCCCAACCGGTCTTAGGAACATTACCGGCTAAGCTAGGGATAGGGTCTCCCCATCTGCTGCCGTTCATTCAGCATTCCTGCCTTCATATCCATGAATTCGTTTATTATTGCATGACTACACAACCACGGGTTCAAGAGACCCAAAGGCTTCTTTCATTTCGGGCGATTGTCGTTGACCAGACTGACTACTCTCGCAAAGCGGGAACCAGCGCTCTACCGCCGATCAAATAGCTCCTTCCGCTAGGAGATACACGGACACCTTTAATGAAGCATTTTTCCCATGGCTTTCACAAGTTGGGATGGCTCCTATAGAACACATTTACGGCGCCCTACTGGTAGTCGGGCATATCCCAGGTCTCTGAAAACTAGTCGGAGAAGTGGACTGCCTTCTCGGGTTTTACCTAGATAGTCCCGCCGGTACTGGTTACGAACGGGCACCCTGCGGGAAAATTCAGGAGGAAATTGGTGGTATTCATGCCGCCATTGGAGAGAGATGGTCAACCTTGACCGAAATTGCCCGAAGAGAAGAGTTCGCTGACGCCACGAGCACCGAAGTGGCCAGATATATTACAGACAGACTGCCCGCTCCCGCAACGCGGGGTTGCGATAGCCTGCGGTATATCATTCTGCTTCAAAGGCCAGCTCAACCAATCCGTATGGTTCGCTGTTATCCTCAACACCCGGGTCTGGAATATACGAGGGTGGATCAGGGATGGAGAAGTAGATGTTTGGAGTTGAGTAGCAAACACGGACGGTGTACTGAATATTGAGGTCCGCCTCGGCACATGTGCCAGGGTTGGCCGAGTCTTGCGCATTTAGGCTGTCGTTGGTCGAGACAAAGGTAAAGTTCGCTCCTTGCGCTTTAGGTCGGTACTTTGCCAAAGAGGGTTTCAAGTCGGCGCACTGGGCGTATTGCTCCAGGGAACCGTTGATGCCAAATTTGCCCCTGGGAGTAGATAGGGCATATCCTTCAAAATTGCACAGGGCTCTAAGATAGGCAGGGGTGAGTGTGGAACTGCAGGCTGTAACACTAAGATTTGGTGCGTGCGAGGCTCTCTCTCGATATCAGAACTGGAAATTCCCCGAAATTCTTCAATTTCTCGAATGCGACTTCTCAGGGCTCTCAATCCAAACAATGCTGTGGGCTGAGTCAAGGAAATATCCTTGTGGAGCTCGACAGGAAGACTGTATTTTTTGGCCCGAAGAACGGTCTTCTTTGGATTGTCATCACGGCAAAACAGACACTCTGCGTGCAATAGCTCTTGAGCTTTTCCAATTGTAACATCAATTTTCACCCAATCATTCTCAACGATCGCTCCCTCCCGTTCAATCAAATCAGTTTTCCTCCGAGAGCCTGAATAAGTCTAACCACTCCAGAGCGTTTTCGAAATTTTCATTGAGCGATCGTAATATATGTTTGATGCCTTGACGTCCCGTGTAGTCGCCATGTTCAGAGTGATCTGGAGTGCTAATACCGGTGACCCTTCGCACGGTCTTTCAACATTCTGTTGGACAGATAAATTCGTAAAGAAAGCGACTTGTCTTTGTCAACTCGAGTAGGAATCTCCCTCCGCCCCCCTCTGGAGGCACGTTAATCCTTTCAAAAAAGTTATTCCTCTTGAGCCATGAAGACGCCGGAAGCCCAACTGCGGAATTCGAAAGGACTCATGCTCCCCCGGCAATCTGAATGAAAGCCGAACCCATGGTGAAAGCGATGGATATTTCTCTAAGAACTCCTCTGCCGAACTTACCCATGGATAGATAGCCCTGCAAACAAAACCAAATGGTGTTTGGGAATAAGCACAAGGAGGGAGATCGGCCTATGTTTGGATTGGCAGTGTCGTGCCCGTTGGACTGGGCAACGCGCTGGGAATGCACAGCAAGAAGCGCGGAGACACTGTGTACCGTGAGCCATAAGAAAGTTTGGGTCACGAGAGAACAGCATTCCGGTAGACCATGCCCTGGGGGGGATGGCCAAGGTTTTATATCAGGAAGTTGGCAACTCAGCAACCCTCCTAACAATGTTTACTTACTAAGAATTCATATCCCTTCATCCGACCACCGGGGCGTCCGTGACTCCAGTACCGCCGCCGTCGCCGTTCCTATCAGTTTCGCACTCGTGCGGCATCCACCAACAGAGCCACGTTCTCTATCATGTGTATTTCCCCACTCACACATTGACAGGGGCTGCTGCCGTCATTACCATAGGTACCAATCTCACACTTATCGGATCAAGAGTGATCACCTGGTGGGTAGGTAAGTACTCTGGGAGGCCCTTCGGCACCTGAACTTGTACTAGTACACCTGTGATTGGTAGTTACAACGAGTTTGTATGGACGTTTTAGTACGGATCGGCGGGATGCCTGCCTTCCTTTACTCGTACATTACCTGTACTTTAGCTATATCGGCAGGGGCCGGGAATTGGTCTTTTAGCGTTAGTTGTTAACTTATGGGTTAGATCCTTCTCCAACAGATGGGTAAACGGGATTACGGTGTCGCTTCATACAAAGTTCCCTTCTTCCCGCCTGGAGTCGGGTTCGGGGGATCAGGCGGATCGCGGGTTGCTATCAGCACACTGATTTGTTTACTCGTAATGTCGTGATGTCTGCGGAACGGATTCCCATCGCATACCGCCAAAATACTGAGGTTCCGACCGGTTTTTGGGCGCATGCGATAGCAGCCCGTTTCACAAACATCACGGCATTACTGGTACTGGGGGTTTCTGGGCGGAGTTAACAGGTTCAGTTTGTCTTGGGATCGATCGGTTCTCAAGCTAAGATGTTAGAGTGGGGAGTTTTCTGGGGGTAGTAACCGCTACTGTAGATAGAGTTTACTTGTGGGGAGGAGAGAGAGGGAAATGTAAATATAGACTTAACTTACATGACATTGTGCTATATTTACTTCTTGCTGATCCCGGGTTTACGAGGCCGTCGACCCTGTTGTCATTATTCAACATCCCACACAATCTGCGATCCCAAAAATGCAATGATCAGGGAAATCAAGTATTATAACCTTATGATCCTTACCTCCCATCCCCCACAAGCCACCCTAAACGTGGGTAGCACTCTTTAAAGGGCCCACTCGAAGGTGCTTTTTATTCCCACCCAATCCCCTCCCGAAGGAATCTCCCCCGACATGCCCAAAACGCTCAATGCCGCCCCCAAAACGAGGGGTGTATAGACGCTCTCAACCGCCGCACCTTTTAAGCACCGTATCAACAAGCTGCTCCCGCCTTGACTGGCTGAGCCACAGATACCTATCAACCTTTTTTGACACTCAGATTAAGCGCTCTTGTCCCACGTTCGTGGTAGATTTAGAAGCTGGATAGGGGGGTAGAGTAGGATAATACGAACGCGCAAACGAGCGCTGGGCTCAGTGGCTCAGTGGTTTCCCCTCTAACCCTTGATGGCTTTTGTCTTACTCGGATCCCGGGCAAGTATATGAGGGCGAGGGGGGAGGGG